TTTGCCTGCCACGCTGCCATTACTGATCAGTTGCTGGTTGCGCGATGGGAGGGAGGGGTGAGGTGAGACCCCCCCAAGGAATGGCCACTAGTCCTGCCTCACACTGAGCTGTACAATGTTGAAACTACCCTTAGGAGACGGCTACCAGGGACGCCAAATCCAGGTCCCTCTTTGTTTTTTTTCCCCTGACTTAGATTTTACTGTGAGAGTTTGATCCTGATCGGTTAATCTGCCGAGTCGATAGCGGATTTAAGTGTAACAGCTAACATATCACCGCTGCTCTGATGTGGTTATGACAGGTTAAGTGAAGCGCTACATTGTCATAATGAGATTCTTGGGACCCCTAACTACAACACTGAATTTCTCCCATCACCCCTCACTAGATAGCGCTGCCACCCACACCTGTAAACCCCATTACCGACACGCATGCATAATAAACCAACTCTCTTTCTCTCCAAAAATTGACTGTCAATCAAACAGAAGCATAACATTAATAGAACCTTCGTGTTTCACCTTTTATTTTTTTATATACTTTCCTTCCTGGAATTTAAATTTTCATATCTAGACACAAAGTAGATAATAAACAAACATGAAAATCCGGCTCGTTCGTATTACAGTAGACGTCTGTGATGGATTACCGATACTGTATACAAAAAATTAGACTTCACCGTAACACGTGGAGATAAACTTCCCTCCTCTTCTTTCTTAATGCAACACCGAGACATTTCCTAGTCATAGATACAGATGGAGTTCGTTTCCATGATCCTGTTTTGATTACCGTTTGGGATCATATGATAGTCATAGACGGCGGGTGAACTCTGGTCCTTCCTTGTTTATTGACGAGCGTTGGATATATGTTAGTCACGGGTTAAAATGTTCCTCGGGCATAAGTCACTATTATTTAGGAGCGCTGCCACACGTTTGCTTGAGTATAACCTTGATTTTTTTTTTTTGAGTCTGGAATATTGGTATATTTTATCGATACGTGTACTTACAACTCGAAGTGACTTTTGTGGGTGTTTCTTCATTATTTATTAAATAGTTGTAATTACAGTTTATTATTATTATTATTATTAATATTATTAATATTATTATTGTTATTATTTTTATTATTATTATTATTATTATTATTATTATTATTATTATTATTATTATTATTATTATTATTATTATCTAGTAGTAGTAGTAGTAGTAGTAGTTGTGACGTTTTAGTGATATGTGAACGAAAGTCTTTGTGTATTTTTATTGACTATTTTATTTGGAGACATACAGTACAGGTATATCGGTAATGATACACTCAGGTGCGCTCTCATCCGTTACGTAATATTATTCGCCAAAAGCTGTCCTGACCAGAGTAGGGCAAGAGAAAACCTTGCGGTCACCTGTTCTACTTCTACGCTCACGTTAAATAAAGTGAAGTAAGATGAAATGAAATGTAACTACAACTAACTACTGCTACGTTTTTGTTAATGTGGCCTCCAGCCTCCCCCAACAGCCACACCTTCGCCGCCATTTTATTGCCATTTTACTGCGTACTGCTGCTACTACTACTACTACGTACTACTACCACTACCAATAATAATAATAGTAATAACAACAACATCCACCAGACTCAGAAGTATCGACCATTCAGCCATTTACCAGTCCAGTGTTTCAGTAGGTAACCCGGACCAATTTGTAATCATCAAGGCAGGTATGTAAATCAGCGTCGGGAGTTCCGTGGCGAACACAAGTGATAATGCAGCTTCGGGAGAATTGGGGATGAAGCCTCAGGGGATAGGGATATGTAGTGTCAGAGGGGTTTGAAGCTTCACGTTATGGTGGGTTGAAGCCTCGGGGGATAGGGAGATGTAAGTACTGTAAGGGAGGGGTTTGGAGCTTCAGATTATGGGGGGTTGAATCCTCGGGTTAGGAAGATGAAGCTCAGGTTATGCGGGAGATGGTAGAAAGATACTTCAGTAATTCACCTTAGAGGGTTGAGCTAAGCTTATAGGACGACATCCCACGTAACGTAACCTAACCACACCTACAGACCAGACCAAACCTTACCTAACCTTACCTAACCTAACCTTACCTAACCTAACCAGACCAAACCTAACCAGACCAAACCTTACCTATCCTAACCAGACCAAACCTTACCTTACCTAACCTAACCAGACCAAACCTTACCTTACCTAACCTAACCAGTCCAAACCTAACTTAACCTAACCTAATCTTAGTCATCTTAACCTAACACCAGAATTATTTTGTTACCATCTGAATGAATTTGCTGTCATCTGGGTTATTATTTACTCCATTATGTATCTACCACCTGAAGTATATATTTACTACCTGTATTATAACCTATTACCTTTTTACGTTATCTACCACCTTTTTATGTTATCTACCACCATTTTATGTTATCTACCACCTTTTTATGTTATCTACCACCTTTTTATGTTATCTACCACCATTTTATGTTATCTACCACCATTTTATGTTATCTACCACCATTTTATGTTATCTACCACCTTTTTATGTTATCTACCTCCTTTTTATGTTATCTACCACCTTTTTACGTTATCTATCACCTTTTTTACGTTATCTACCACCTTTTTACGTTATGTACCACATTTTTATGTTATCTACCACCATTTTATGTTAACCACCACCTTTTTATGTTATCTACCACCATTTTATGTTATCTACCACCAATTTATGTTATCTACCACCAATTTATGTTATCTACCACCAATTTATGTTTTCTACCACCTTTTTATGTTATCTACCACCTATTTACGTTATCTACCTCGTGTATTATTTGTCTACCACCTATACTATATGGTTACTGCATAGATTAGTTCTCTTATATTATTTACCCGCCGCCGCCTGGACTGTAAACACAACATTGGCTCCAGCACACCAGGGTAGCACGGAGGGTCTGCTATCAGGACTAACCCTATGGCCTAGTGAGCTTTAGGGGGTCTTAAACCAGTCGATGGTAAGCTTACTGTCCAGGTCGATGTTTTAACTAATGCATGTGTAATAGCGCTTATTCGTTCTGGGTTTTCGTTTTTTTGGGGCGGGGGAAGTAAAAAAGATGAATTATTATTTTTTTTTCATGTAGCTTTATTACCAGGGTTAGTGTGCAAGTTTGGGATGCCTTGTAAATAAAGTTGAAGGTTTCTGTTCCTAGCACCCCTCTCTTCCTCTATCAGTTTATCTATATTGCAAGCAGTAAGTGGCGCTACCTGGCGAGGGTCGGCTGTCTTGTAATCATAACCTGCAATATTTCGTCCATTCAGCATTACAGCCAATGATCATGCTCCCCATGCCCGATCAGCTCCTCTCTGTATACTTAAGAGGGATTAACTGCCAAACTAACACACTCCGGACACACTAGACGATCACAGTTGTAGTGCAGGTGATAGGAAAATAATGACACGGGTCACCAATTCCGTTTATTTTATTTATTTTTCGTCAGTTTTACCCCCGTGTAGGGCTTAAAATACTGAAATGTTGAAGTGTGCGGCAGTTTTAACTAGGTTTCGCCTCCCCGTAAAGCTTCTATCAGTGCCTGGTTGACCAGAAACACACGTGTCCCTTGGGGGCAATGGCGCGACCCATGTCCAATACCCAGACCATTTCCTCACTCGCGGCGTGTCCAACCTGGCCACGATGCTGGGCTAAGATTGTGGAGGTGATTTATATTGTTTGAAGTGTGTGTGTGTGTGTGTGTGTGTGTGTGTGTGTGTGTGTGTGTGTGTGTGTGTTCTGTAACCACATGAATGTGAAGATTTTTGGTTATTGTCCACACTTGTGTGCCTCCATTTACGTACATATACAGTACAGGGCGTGTCTGGTACCTGACCTCCCTCTTTCCTATCCCCTTCCCTTCCCCCATCCCCTCCTCTCTTCCTCTCCTCTCCCCTCCCCCTCCTCCTCCTCCCCTCCTCCCTCCTCCTCCTCCCTCCTCCTCCTCCTCCTACCACACAAGAAACGAACCAAAACAACCAGATCGCTTCACACCCAAGACGTTGACAGCACGGCCACAAGCTTTTGATACCGTCACCACCCGCCCACGGCCACACAGGTGATACCGTCACCACCCGCCCACGGCCACACAGGTGATACCGTCACCACCCGCCCACGGCCACACAGGTGATACCGTCGTCACACCCGCCCACGGCCACACAGGTGATAACGTCACCACCCGCCCACGGCCACACAGGTGATACCGTCGCCATACTCTCACCTGTCAGTGTAATGTGACCACAAAGGTTACACCAAACGCAACAATAGTCAAGTTCATTTATCTTTTATTTACAAAACAATTTCTATTTATTTTTATACCGATTTAAAGCAAAAGAAATCCACTACAATGTAAGGCTTAAACTGCACTTAACACATTAATCAAATGACCTCGTTCAGCATAAAAGACTAGACTTGTTTAGTTCAGTAGTTTTATTAACACTCGGTCAATATTGTCAATATATATCAATTTATGTATATTACCATTAATTTATTATTTGCATTCTTGTTTATTTACATATTGTTATTTTTTACTTACATACGATAGCAAGGGCTGTATTATGCAGTGGCGTCCCGAGGCTGTGGGGAGGTAGATGTATGTACCGGGGGGAGGGGGGTGAGGGTGGTAGACAGGGACAGGGTGGTGAGATAGGAGAGTGAGACAGGGGGTGGTGAGAGAGTGGTAGACAGGGAGGAGGGGGTGAGGGTGTGGTAGACAGGGAGGGAGGGAAGGAGGGGCGCCAAATACCTCCTTTTCAGCAGTGTTGGATTTTCTCAAACTTCGGGATCAGGTGTAGGATCGCCACGCATCCTTCAGGAATCCTTCACGGTGTCTTGGCTATTCAGAGTGCCGTCCGCCCGCCGCCCACAAGCCAATACCAGCCACGTCCACACAGGAAATTACTCTTCCGCCTGCGATGGATTCCTGTCAATCCCGTCCGCCTTTACTACTTTGCCGTCACTCTCCTCCACCTGTTCTGTTTTTCCCGTCACTTCCGCCTATTAGTTGTATTTTTTCCGTCAGTCGTGTCCAACGCTTCATTTGCGTCAGTTTCGTTTAGCTGTTCTTGACGGCTGTCAGTCCTGTCTAGCTGCTCTATACGACTGTCAATCCTGTCTAGCTGCTCTATACGACTGTCAATCCTGTGTAGCTGCTCTATACGACTGTCAGTCCTGTCTAGCTGCTCAATATGGCTGTCAGTCCTGTCTAGCTGCTTAATATGACTGTCAGTCCTGTCTAGCTGCTCAATATGGCTGTCAGTCCTGTCTAGCTGCTCAATATGGCTGTCAGTCCTGTCTAGCTGCTTAATATGACTGTCAGTCCTGTCTAGCTGCTCAATATGGCTGTCAGTCCTGTCTAGCTGCTTAATATGGCTGTCAGTCCTGTCTAGCTGCTCTATACGACTGTCAGTCCTGTCTAGCTGCTCAATATGGCTGTCAGTCCTGTCTAGCTGCTTAATATGACTGTCAGTCCTGTCTAGCTGCTCTATACGACTGTTAGTCCTGTCTAGCTGCTCTATACGACTGTCAATCCTGTCTAGCTGCTCGATATGGCTGTCAGTCCTGTCTAACTGCTCTATACGACTGTCAATCCTGTCTAGCTGCTTAATATGGCTGTCAGTCCTGTCTAGCTGCTCAATATGGCTGTCAGTCCTGTCTAGCTGCTCTATACGACTGTCAGTCCTGTCTAGCTGCTCTATACGACTGTCAATCCTGTCTAGCTGCTTAATATGGCTGTCAGTCCTGTCTAACTGCTCTATACGACTGTCAATCCTGTCTAGCTGCTTAATATGGCTGTCAGTCCTGTCTAGCTGCTCAATATGGCTGTCAGTCCTGTCTAGCTGCTTAATATGGCTGTCAGTCCTGTCTATCTCCTTTATACAGCTATCAGCCTTGTCTAGCTGTTCTATACGGCTGTCAGTCCTATGTCTTTGGCTGTCAGTTCTCTCCTATCTGCTCAATATGGACGCCAGTCTTGAGCTAATTACCTAAGGTTCTTAACTTTTGTCCTCCAGGATTGAGATTGATGAATAAAAATGAAGTTGATGATCCGTATTAAGGAGAATGGATAGATTTTCACAGCCTTTCACTTTTTATTCATTTCTTTATTGTCATTAATTATATTCTCCAGCGTTTATTGTAATTTGTTTTTAATTTATATTTATTCTTATCCGTATTTTAATTTCTTAGTTGTGATGTATCTATTTTTTTTTATTTTAATTTCTTTCTATTCATATCTTTATTGCCATCATTTTCCACTTTATTGTCTTTATTGTATTTTTTCCTTTAAAACTCATTATAACAATTTAATATATCTTTAGTTTTTGGCTGTTATATCCGGGTTATAGTCACGGATTTCCTATAACACAACCTTTCTTTATTGACTGCCAAAATAAACTCACTTTTTTTCATATATTTTTTCCCCCCGACATTGAGTTTTTATTTAGTTTATCCTCTTATATGGAGCGTTTTAATCCTATTCCAATATTCATTTTATCCAGGTTATATATTTTTGTCATTTAATTGAAAATATATTAAAGTTTGAGTGGAAAGAGCTCAAGCGAGGTGAAATATGCTGTTAATTTTGGTCTTGTCTCAATAGTGTGTGTGTGTGTGTGTGTGTGTGTGTGTGTGTGTGTGTGTGTTAAGTGAAGGTCGTATAAACATTAATGTAGATGAGGCGGTAAAGAAACGTCATCACATCCTTAACGTTAATCAGATATAAGGTTAGGCTATGCATCCCCTCCTCTCTCCTCTCCCCCCTCCCCTCCTCTTTCCCCTTCCTCTTCTCCCCCTCCTCTTCCTCCCTCTCCCCCTCTTCCTCCTCTCCCCCCACACCTAAGGACCACCAAATACAGTTCACTTTAATTAAAATAGGTTTGAAGAGCATAAACAACGTGGGATCAGGAGACGAGAGAGAGAGCGAGAGAGAGAGAGAGAGAGATACGTATAAGGAAGGTCTTCGAATCCATAATACAGTACAGTGCATCCTCCTACCTTGGGGGGGGTCCTACACTGCTGAACTTCTACACCCTGCAGTTACTTACGATCGTTAAATAGACACACTAACTTGTTACAGAGTCTTGGCCCAATGTAAACCCCGCAGACTTACGGTGTTATCCTCAGGGGCTCCTCAGAGAGTGTCTTGAGGCGTATTACCGTTGTTGTGAACCTTAACTCGAGGGGTTGGGTGAAGTATTGTTCCCTAGGAGTTACAGAATTCGTTTATTTTTCAAGGTGATTCATGGGTTTGTATCGAGGTAGTAATATTAGGATTTGTTTTTTTGTATTGTTTTCAGCTATTGTAGATTTTTTTATTTATTTATGACCTTCAAGTATCGTAGTTTTATTTATTATTTTTTTTTTACTGTAGTCTATTTGTCTGCTTCTTACAACAATAATTTGATCACCTTTCAGCCCCCCTTCCCCTACCTCCTCCTCACCCCCCTCCCCCACCTCCCTCTCACCCCCTTCCCCCACCTCCCTCTCACCCCCTCCCTCCACCTCCCTCCCCCCTCCCCCCTCCCTCCCCCACCTCCCTCCTCACCCCCCTCTCTCCACCTCCTCCCACCCCCTCCCTCCCACCTCCCCCCCCTCCTCCCCTCCCTCCACCTCCTCCCTCCACCTCCCTCACCCCTCCCCTCCACCTCCCTCTCACCCCCTCCTCCACCTCCCTCCACCCCTCCCCATCTCCTCTCACCCCCTCCCCATCTCCTCACCCCCCTCCCCCCATCTCCCTCTCACCCCTCCCCCATCTCCCTCTCACCCCCTCCCCCATCTCCCTCTCACCCCTCCCCCTCCCTCTCATCCTTTCTCTCCACCTCCCTCTCACCCCTCCCCATCTCCCTCTCACCCCTCTCCACCTCCCTCTCACCCCCCTCCCCTCTCCCCCCCTCCCTCTCACCTCCCTCTCACCCCCTCTCTCCCTCCCTCTCACCCCCTCTCTCCCACCTCCCCTCCCCACCCCCTCCCCCACCCCCTCCCTCCCCAATCGATGGCCTTATAGAGCCCAAAACCCAGCTGTTGTGAAGACCATAACATCAAACACTCCTCCTCAATCCCCCCTTTTTTTTTTTAGTCCATGGTATCGAACCTGTGACCCCCCATAAGTTAGGGAACACGTCGAGTTACTCCACCAACACCGCCACGTTTTCTTAAAGAGTAACAAACGATATTATGCTACGAAGTGTCTTTTAATTATGGTCCTTCATTATTTTCTCATTAGTGAGGTAATTTGTAAATTTCCGGGGGAGATGACTCTTCTCATATTAATTACTCGGCTAGTTCATAATGGAGTCTTCATTTTTTGTCAGGCCGCCATCACTGGAGCGTCCTGTTGTCATCACTCCGGCGTCCTCCTGTCTGTCTGTTTGTCTGTGTCTGTCTGTCTCCGTACGTGCGTTGCTGTGCCTTTGTCGGTAAGTACTGTATTTGTCTGTTAATGTATATTCTTCTGTCCGTAAGTCCTTGTGTGTGTTACCGTCTATTCCTGTGACCGTAAATTCGTGTCTGTATAAGGATATTCCTGTATGTGTGCGCGTGTTTTTTCCCAAGATCCAGTCCCACTTTCCTCCACGTGTGTTGTTCATCATCCGTGGCAGCTACAGTGCATGCCAGACGCCCCAACAATATCGGTGGTGAAAATCTAGTAGAAATATTTGCCAATAATAAGAATTCTGCAAATCAGCCCCAGAAAACACCGAAAGTTACGCTGTACAGTATCTTGATTAATGTATATTTGTGCTGTACCTCTGTTAACTTGTCCGTCCGTCCAAAATTCCCGATTCTTAAATAATCTGAAAAACACTTGGCGGATCGTTGTGAAATCTAGTATGTACCTTTATTGTGATGTATATCTTGACTAAGGTTGATGTTTAACAAATTTCACCTGTGTCATCAGTAAATGGTGTCCTTGTTGGATTAGTTAAGCGTGTCAGGATACTTAAATGTCAATAGCCTAAGGACTGACGACACCACCATTATGATGTCGATACCTTGTGAAAAACTCTGTACCTCTACCTATACACTTGTACCCGCACCATATACCTATACACTTGTACCCGCACCATATACCTATACACTTGTACCCGCACCATATACCTATACACTTATACCCGCACCATATACCTATACACTTATACCCGCACCATATACCTATACACTTATACCCGCACCATATACCTATACACTTATACCCTATACTTATACCCGCACCATATACCTATACGCACCATATACCTATACACTTATACCCGCACCATATACCTATACACTTATACCCGCACCATATACCTATACACTTATACCCGCACCATATACCTATACACTTATACCCGCACCATATACCTATACACTTATACCCGCACCATATACCTATACACTTGTACCCGCACCATATACCTATACACTTATACCCGCACCATATACCTATACACTTATACCCGCACCATATACCTATACACTTATACCCGCACCATATACCTATACACTTATACCACCCGCACCATATACCTATACACTTATACCCGCACCATATACCTATACACTTATACCCGCACCATATACCCTGCACAAGTGTTTGTGTATGTCCTTCAAACAAAGGTGTCAACATTCTCAAAAAATCCTCCACCCATTAGAATATTCTCCCTCATTCTCCCTTTGATTTAGTTAACGTTAAGAGACCAAACCCCACTGACAGTTTTTAAGTCACGTTGCAAATTTTGACGTTACGATATTTTAGGAAGGGTATTTGGTTCTGAAGCTTAAAGCGAGGCTGTTTGATGCGTCCTCACGTCTCCAGTAAGGGGGAAAATTTAACCTTACAAACTGTTGAAAACCCGAAGCCTCGAACCTGAAACTCTTACTCGCTCCCTCACCCGGTTGCTCAGATATATGTAGATACAAAACACTTGTCGGGCCGTGTAAAGGGCGGGGCATTGATATCCTTGCTTGTGTGTGTGTGTGTTTTTTTGGGTATTTCCCACGAGTGATTTATTCAGCAGGTGTATGGATGAGTGAGGCGAGTGAGTGAAGGGGGTTGTGAGTGGCAGCAGGAACAGTCGGCAGCGTACAAGATAAAGATTTATTAGGATTCTTCTATAAAGAGAATTCGAGGGTTAGGAAGGATTGATAGGACCGAAATGGAGATGAATTTCCTGGAGGAGGCTGCAGTGCGTTATGGGGTGGGGGGGGAGAAGAGAGGAGGGGTGATGTGGAGGAGGCTGGGGGTTAGGGGGGGTAGAAGGGGGATGTAGGAGGCTGGGGTTAGGGGGAGAAAGGGGATGTGGTGGAGGCTGGGGGTTAGGGGAGAGAAGGGGTGATCTGGAAGAGGCTGTGGGTTAAGAAAGGGGAACGGAATCTGGAGAAGTCTATAGATTAAGGGGGGAGGGGGAGAAAGGGCAGGGGAGGGGATGGGATCTGGAGAGGTAAGTGGAAGGAGGGGGGAAGACAAGGGAGACGGGATCTAGAGGAGGCTGTGGGTTAAGGAAGGAGGGGGAAGGGGTAGGGGATGTGGGTAAGAAGGTAAGTGGAGGAAGGTTAGGGGGAGGGAGGGGAGGTATTGAGGAACGAAGGGAAGTCTCGGGAAGAAATGGATTAAAAGGAGGTGATGGTCGGCGGGCGGCGGTGATAGAGGACGTAGTGGTCTGGTCCGGACACGTCTTAGAGAATGGATGAGGGATCGGTGAGAGAGATTGAGGAAGGAAGGAAGGAAGGAAGGAAGGAAGGAAGGGACGAAAGAAAGAAATGGAGAAAATAAAAAGAACGAAATAAATAGTATGATCAGATAAAGAGAGAGATGGGGGTGAGGTGGAAAAAAAATGCGAGGCAGATGGAGATTTATAGATAAGTAAAGATAGGCACAAACTGAATATGAAAATAAATGGAGAGAAAGAACACCAAA